AAACTAGGAATTTCCAAGGTGTGTTTATCGGTCGCAAATTGAAGTATTTTATGTTACGGATATTTGGTCCGAATTTCAGTCAAGGAAATCAATTCTGGTTAAAATAGGAGCATTTTGAAACTAGATGTTCACACTCTAAAATTTTATTACACGAGGAACAAGGAGATGAACCAGGATGTATTCGTCTTTTCTCAGGAACAGTGAGACATTAGGTTCGGTTCCTTTCAACCAGACCTTGAAAACAGGATAAGTAAACAATCGTATATTGATACAAATGTCGGCGATTAGCTAACATGAAGATTATAGATCAAGTAATATAGGGCAAATTAACTGCTGCCCTTTGGCGTCTAAAATAACAATTATAGCGGACACAGACCTGAGCGGACACATATCGAATAAATCAATCTCCAAAAATGTTCTTGAAGAAAGTTGAAAAAGAAGTGCGAGTGCACAATAAGCTCTGGCCGTCTTGCATGAAAGTCTTGCATGAAATCTATGAAAAAATGATCCCTGCCAGAGCTGGAAAATGCGACGCCAAAAAAACCCCCAAACAACTGCGACGCCAATGGCACTTATGGGACACCATACTTTAGATGTTTACCTAGATTTATAGCGAATTGTGATAAATATCACGCGACTATAACATTACTGCGCATATTTTGCCTCCATTTACAATCTTTTCATAAGCATCTGTCCCAATTGTTACAAACAATTTTTGTTAAGTATTTAATTTATTTTGTTTGCTTTTTTTTTGAAAAATTAAAATTTGGTAGTGACATTTTGTGGGAAAATTATGGGGCCTTATTTTGGTCAATTTTCCCGTGGACAGACCGACCGACCGACCACCAAGTGACATGTAGAAGTTCCTGCCAGAGCTTAATAACAAGCGGCCGAAATGTAGCCACATATGGTCAATTATAGTCCCCCGACTATTCAAGGTGTATTCTTTTCTCTCTTAAAGAAGTCATATTGAATTTGAATATATATTATATTTTCGTCATTTAAAGATGTGGTCCCTGTGCTATTTTCGAGTTCACAAAAAAATTGTTATTTTTCCTGGCTATGTAAAAAGTTATGCACTTTTGAATGAGACATCTAACGAGAACAAAAAAACACCGACGTTTAGGCAAAAAAAAAAGTCTCCGGCTTCTGGTATGGAGCTTGCCCAAAAAGTGATGCGGCGAAGCGGCTTTTTTTTTTTTTTACCTGATTGTTTTGCTTCAAATGTCGGCTGATGACTGCAAATGGTGCCCGACTAAACTTAGTGCAAATATATGGGAGTCCAGAGAGGTCATATAAAGCTTATTCTCGACCATAATCCAATCTAAAAACACGTTAAAATTGTGCAGCAGCAGGATTCCAGTCAAACCAGTGAGTTTGGCGGTTTTGAAACATCATCTTTCATTGAAAAAAAACTTTTTCATTTTGCCGACGCGCATGGCTACGGCGACGCGCGCGCATACCAGAAACCGGAGACGTTTTTTTTGGCCTTAGTTATTATATTATTTCTTCACAAACACTCGAAAAGTACCACACAATAATCCAGCTCTCACAGAGTGGATTCGTGTTTTGCACAAAAGAGTGCCTTTTTTCAGAGGGCTGAAGACATCTTAAATCGGAATAAAGTATTTTGTTTTACGTTACGCTGGGAAAAGAAAGCCAATTTTGATCTCAGGGCGTATAACTTTAATCGTCTTATTTTATCCCTGCTGTCGATTAATAGTAACGAAAGAGTTTGTTAGCAACTTCCCCGATTTGAAACAATGAATGTGGTTGTTTTTGAAAATGAACGTTTTTATAATTTCTCTCAAACCTATTTGGACAGTATCAATAATATACATCTAGCTAATCGATCTCGTAATAAACGCAAGTGTCGTTGGTTGCAGTCTCTCCATTGAAGTTGACGTCAGAGTGCTGGGCTGTGTTGAGTTGGCATGTACTCCCAACGAGGTTGAAGGAGCGGCATCGCGGGTCGTCGACGCACTTGATACAGCACATGGCGGGGTCTCTGACTTGGACTTCTCTCAGGACGTGGTTCAGCAGGCAGCCGTGGATCGGGTGCCCCGGGCCGCCCCGCTGATGGCACCGGCCCTGCCGCGCACACTCCACCCGGCCTCGCCGCTGGCACGCGTAGAACCTCACCCTCTCGCAATTGGCGTCGGACCACTTGGACTCGTCGTGCCACATCACCACACAGTCGCCATAACCGCCAGGCTGACCGCCTCTCCACAACGCGAAATCTAGCGTGGGGGTGTTTGAGCAGCCCCACAGCCCGGCGGCGGTCCGCCGACAGCCCAGCCAGATCCCCCCGTAGGGTTGCACCTCGGCCTCGCTCAGATTCTGTGCCCGGTACATGGTCCAAAGGAAACGTATATCTTCCCTCGTTACGGGCAGGGCCAATTCACCGCCAGCCGCTCGGCAGCGACCATCGGCCTCGGACCAAGTCAGTTTAGTCGTGGTGTTCAACAAGTAACAGAACTCAGCGTGTTGGGTCCATCCGGAGGGACAAGCAAACTGGCTGCTCGTGTGTAGAATGAAACACGACAACAGGAGAAATGTTAACATCTTAACATTGTCAACACACCGCATAATGCAGTAAGTTTTCGTTCATCCATACATTAACTGAGTGAGATTTCTATCAAATGACAAAAAGTTGTGGTGACCAGTGACAGGAAATGTGAAGATACCTGACGTGAAAAACTCTGTAGAATGTCGAAAGGAGCACCGGTTTACGGATGACAGCCACAAAAATGAGCACCGTAATAAGAAGGGATACTCACAATACACGGACTCTGCAACTTTGTGCAAGCTACGCCAACGGTCAGCCACAAGTGATGCAGGCAGTGAACCTCACGGTCTCAGGTCGATCGAGACGCCAAGCCTCACGGCAGTCACTGATCGATGAGGCAATTGTTCATTAATTAGTGGTTGCCTCGAATCTGCCAAACCGAAAAGATTGCCCAATATTTCACGTCAATTAAAAAGGCCGTTTTTGTATCGTAGGTATGGCAGCTGCGTCGCCTTTAACAAAATGAAGCGAATTGCTCACAAACGCGGAACTGTCGAATTGATGGCCATTTTTAAGTAAAATTTTATTGGAAGTGCAATGAGCAATTTGCATTGGTTACGGTGGAGACAGGTGGTCAAATGAGTTTTGTTCAAGGTTGCAGACTATAGACGTGACATCACCTTACGTATTTCGTGCAAGGCGCTCTTCTATTCTTTGTTTTCCCAAAATAGCCACCGGTGCCTCTCCGAGATCGCTGCGCTTCTTTGATCATAATCAAATATTAAGTGCGTCTCGCTAACGGCGAAAGTACGTAATTTGTGCATCGTTTGTCCGAAGGTCTGGTTAATGGCTGACTCTGCATAATTTATGGCCGACTCTGCATAGTCACTATGAATAGGTGTGGAGGCATCATCTTAAAAAGCTGAAGCTTGTGTTGATGTGCCCAACAAAACAAGACAAAACAACACTGGTTGCAAGATGTGGTTGAGTAAACACAATAATTAGATACTTTGAAAATAAATCACGTGTTTTCCTAGATGACAAGGTATAGATTCTTAATAAAGGTTAAAAGGTTGATGAGTTTCACTTTAAAAAATCAAAATAACAAACAAAAAATTACAATATAAAAGTTCACACAAAGGTACACCTTGAAAATTTGAGGATTGCGGTGTTCAATTATCTTTCGAAGGAACTTTTCCCCAAATATATTAGGCCCTACCCGCTTTGTTTAAGGGGACATCGCGACTTTCGAGAACGAATTTCGGGGTCCAATTTTGCGTGGCTGTTCAGTGATAGTTGTTATTCCACCTGTAAGTGTGCTGCCTCTTGCGGACGTGTAAGAAACCACATTAGTGCATTGGTGCTGTGTGCAATTTATGCGACAAGCGCAAAGTGTATCGTACATTGAATGAAAACGACAGGAAAAACGTATGAATAGGCTACTCCGTCGTGTCCGATGTAAACAACCGGGTATATTCGAATTTTCTCGGGAACGGTAAGACACGGTCAGACAGGCCGAATGCCCCTTTAATGAATAGTGAAATAAAGGGTCTGTATAGAATAACCTACAATTCCCAACCACCTTAGTTCTGCCCCATGGTCGATGACACAATAGCATTTTGCTGGTCCAAATGGGGCCAAACTATAGTCCTCCTTGTGCCTAATTGTTTGACTTGTGAATTAGACTTAAGTCCTACTTCGGCCCAGAGGTTTGAAATGGGTTACACCGTAAAACAATACATGCATAAAAAGGCTTTCAATTCGATTGAATTGAGTTTTTTTGCTCTCTGGGGCCAGCTTTACTAGGCTTTCTTTGTCTTGTTTCAAACTTTCATTAGGAGGCCTAACTCGATGAGGGGAAAATAAAACTTTTGCCACAGTTAGCTTAAAAAACATGCATTCAGTGCTGCTGTCTACCATTCCACTATGTGCAACTTGAGCCTCAGCTGACGCGCAGCAACTCACGTGCTTGTTCTGGTTTAGACTTGATTACAAGTCGGTAATTTTACATGAACCGTACTTTGGTTCTAAACCAAAAGACTCTGCCTATATATATCGTGCGAATCTTAGATCAAGGAGGCGCCACTTTCACGTGACCATCCTTTACATCACTGTCCGAGGTTTCCGAATACGTTTTTCGTAGACGGTCGCAATAGCTTGGGTACATCCAAGTGTTTTTATGAAACGAAATATGCCTACCTATCATAGCTGTCATTGCTGTTAACATTAATTGAAAGGTCGATTTAGATTGTCCGTATTAATGGCTTTCCAATTATCGTGTTCTATTATTGAATCTGTCGGTTACCCGACCTACAATCCACTTTAGCTAGAGGGGTTTGGGATCATCAGGTCCGGGAACCAGACTTAAGGAACCAGAGTATGGTCCCGACAGACAAAACGCGACTGTCAACCGACTTGACACCAAGTCTAGCTATCAGTTTACACTCCGCAAACAATAAAATTGCCACGCACTTTGACCCATCAATAATGTTCGTGCACAGCTCAGTCAGATCCTGTCCCATTGAACGCCGCTTTGACTGGATCTGAACTATAAATTCTTTGAAACAACCAGTATTTCGTTAACTGAGTTCAATATTGCGGGATGTGCCTGGCTAGCTCGAGCCACTGTGTACCAGCCTTCGATCCACTGAACGGCTCACTTACAACTGTACGGTCACAATAGATCGCGGACTGTCAGCTGCTGGAATCTCCATGGTAAGAATATTAATTGGTAAAAAGAAACACCCCTTGTGATTCTAAATGATTAATCTAAGTTCGTCTAAAGGTCCAGATTTAGTCGTCTGACTGTATGTGAACACTGCAAAATCAAATATTTACCATTATATTTCTGGCAGTTACATGAATTGGTTTTAACGATTGAAACGAGAACTGTGTTTGCAAGTACATGGGCAACAACAATGCGGAAAAGTTCATGACAACATTCGAGTCACATTTGCATGCCACGATGATGTAAAGAGCCGTTTTCTGCGGCGTTGCATATAGGCCTGTAATGATGTATATGATCAGGGCGGCGTTTTTTCCCTGATGGTTGTGAATGGGGTTGTGTACATGTGTCATGGGTTTTTCCCCAGTACTTTCATCTTCGTCCGATAATGGTCAAACTTGCCGCCATTCAGGACAACAAGTACATCGGCAACAACAATGCAGACAAGTTCATGACATTCAAGTCACATTTGTAGAGTTTTGTAAATGTCTTAACAATGTCACAAAGGGGTTTTCGGAACTTTGGTCATTTTTTTTTAAAACAAATTTTCAACAAATATCATGTGGTTTAAGTTGGAGTTTTCCCACGCAGGCCTGAATGCGCGGTATACTAGCTAAACAGGATTTCCTTAAAGGGAAAATACAACATTTGCAAACATCAAAAAATAAAACTACCAAATCATTTTGAAATACCTTGCTGGACTGTTAGTGAATGACAGTGTAAAGCATCCTGTAAAATCATGGCACCTGGTATACTGTCATTTTCAAGAAAAGTGGTATTTTTGTATCAATTTCCAACGCTGATCGGCCGATCAGCGTTGGAAAAAACTGGCTTTTTTTCAAATACTGGCCCAGTTGACCATCGCACTTGTTTGCAATCGATTACACACCTATGAACGGGTACGAGCCAGCTAGACTGGTTCCCTGACCTTACAATACCCCAATGTATGTAAACTGCTCTGTTTCTTCTTATATGGAGTCAGGGAACCAGACTACAGGAAAATGATTGTTTTTCTTGGTTTTTATAGCATTTTCGAACCCAAAACCTCAAAAAAGTCAGTGTAACTATATTTGCTATATATTTCCAACCCCCCAATTCCATCCATTTCTGAAAATTACAGCAAAAGCAAATGATGTATATTCCCTTTAAAGGCACGTATACGTATAGGAACATTTGCGGTGACCCGGAAACGTACATACCGATTTTACGAGCAATTCCTTGCTCACTGTGAAGATAAGACTGTTATCTTCTGAAGAGTCCGCCTGAAAGGTAATCATTCGGAAGAAAACAATAATTGAAAGGGGTTTCCAAAAATGTGCCGGCGGGCACAGTTGTTTAAGTGCGCGGAATCCAGTTACGAGACCACGTAAAAACTGTGCCTATAGCCTACTCTGATTTCTCTAAAAATTAATAATGTATGCTGAAGTATCCACTCAGTTGAAAGTTCGTCGAGTTAGTTGCAATGCACTCTCCTTAAGATTTCGAGCAATTTTGTTATTTCAATCGAAAAAATAGGGGGAAAAAGTAAATGATCAAATGACCTTTAAAGCCATTGTCAACATGTAGGCCTATACAACTCGTAAAAGCACGGAAGCCGTCAAAGGGGAATTATAATGAGAGCATCGCCTGCAACACAATTTGGCATATACACGTAGGCTCAGTTACATCGAACATATTTCCTTTTATACTACTCATACCACCATGACACCGTACGCCTACCCTTCGTTAATTCGGAGTTCCGCATTATTTAAAGGATGCATGTGCTCTAAACGTGCGATGTAATTCCATAAACAAAACTGTTTTGTATAGGGTGAGTAAAAAAGAAGCGGAACCGAAACCCCAAAAATTATATTTCATATCTAAAAAAAAAAAATGTAGCACCAATCATTATAATGACTGGAAAGCTAATTTCATAAGCTACTTTTAGATGAAAAAAATACTGAAATTGCTCAAGCTGTTCAAAGAATCACCATTTAAATACAATGACCCTAAAAACTCTTTCGTCCAAAAATGCGATATCAAGAATCGTCGTCACAATTGTCTATGAACATCACCTGCGATAAAACCTCAGTTTAAAAGTTAAAAAATATTCAACAAAGTCCTTTTGAAGGCCGGTCTTTCAAAAAAGTGGATTTTATAAATCATATTGTTTGCCTAACCAGGGTTGTTAATACAAATATTGTGTACTACAGTACTGTTGTTGACAGTTGTGGAAACAAGTATTCTGTGTCATTTTCTTTGTTGTTCCAAACAGTCAGAATACACAATAAACTGCATTTTTGACGAAACAGGTTTTAGGGTCATTGTGTTTAAATGGCGATATTCTTTGAACGGATTGAGCAATTTCAGTAATTTCTTTTCATCGAAAAGTAGTTTATAAAATTGGCTTTCCAGTCATTATTATGTTTGGTGCTACATATTTTTTAGTCATGGAAATATAGGTTTTGGTTTGGGTTCCGTTTTTTTGACTCACCCTATACAAAAGTTTGCAAAATGTACACAACGTTTTCATATGAAACAAAAGTTATCTAAACAAACATCCGTATAATATAAACCTAAACTAGTAAACTGAGAAGCAATGGTCACATGCCTTTCACAATGAGAAGTTTACTTTAAAGGGTGCAGGTCAGTAATCAATAGACCCAATATTGCCTACGATTTGTATATGCCCTCAATTCTTTTGCTGTTGTTTGTAAAAAAAAACCAGAAGGTTGGATCGGAAGCCTTGATCAGGTCTGCGACAGGACTAGGCCCTAAATTTGCTCTATTTTGCAATGGACCGTGGGCATCATTTTTCAAAATGGCGGTGGGCTTCATGACTACTTTCAGGGGTGATAATCTTTATATGGAATTTTTTTCCCAAAAGTAATCTGATTACCTCCCAAAAATTGAACAGCAAATAAAAGAGGATGAAATAAGCTTTAATTTGAAGGGTGTCTCAAACACCTTGGAGAATTGTGAGTATTTTTTTCTGATCTTGAGAAGTGACGGGATTTTATCACTGAGGTCTAAGACAGTTTATTGGTCTGCATTCTTAATCTTTCCAAGATGCTGTGGGTGCTCAACGGTAAATAGACCTATACTCATTCGCCGAGCTCATGAATACAAGTGATACCCTCAAAATATTCTATATTAGAGAGTTCTGAGAGCCATTATATTGGGGAATTGAAGAGATATGGCAATAAACATATGGCCCGGAATTCGGGCTTCCAATTCTGAGCATTTTGGATGCATTTTGGCTCGGAAGTGGCACTACTTTGCCATATTGTGGAGGGATCGTTTTTCAAGATGGCTACTTTTCTTTGGGAAAAATAGGGGCGTCGTCTTTGGGTGAGAATTTCTCGAAAAGTCAAAGGTCAACCCAGCGACAATGAAAGAAAATGATCAAAGATGACATGTTGATCATCATTTTTCTGTGCAGCTTAAATACCTGTGAGAGTTCTGAGTATTTCTAAAAGAATTTTGAAGTATGGGTATTTAGCACTAGTGTCTATGGGAATTGTAATACAGGGTTGCACCCTTAGGCCTCGTCTGAATTATTGTTGACTGTTAAAATGGCTGTATGGGTTTTCGACATCGACGCGCTGCACTGTAAATCCATCGTAACCCGTGGAATCACGGATGCCGTGAAGGGTCCTTAGTATAGGATCATTTACTTTTCATGCATTTTGTTGTTTCCACTGATAATATCGCTAAAATTCCAGAGAAGAAGGTTCAAAATCTAAACTGTTGAAGTTTCAGCTCAGTGGATATTACATTTTTTTGAGATCGCAAAACCCATTGTTCACGAAACACGATTTCATCAAAAGCACTCTTTTATTTCCAAAAATCGGTCAATCGTCGAAAAGCACCTATGACAGTAAGCCAGAGTAATTTCACAAGGTATTTAGTACCAGTATGATCTTTAATTCAAGCAAGCTTTTAAATAATAAATCAGTAGACTACTTTTGGGGTAAATGCATCAATCCTATAGGCATATATGCATTAAAAAACAGACTGGAATGGACAGAAAAAATATATATAAACTAGTTTGATTTCAACAGGGTAGCCTTTTCAGTTATTTGAACTGCTATTTTTAAGGGCCCTTAAGCTGAGTACATAAAAAATAAATTATTAAATGACGTTAAAAAGGTAACAAACCAATGAAAACAGAAAAGAGGGGCGAAGCACGGTCATTTTTATTGGGGGGGGGTACAATTTTTTGAAAAGGGCACTTGCACATCCGTTGTGAAATGTAGACAGGTTTTTTCCTCCGGACACTTGGCCTCCGTAAAATCAAAAACTGGGGGGGGGGGGGGGGGGGGGGGGGAGGCTGGTCAAAAACCGACAATTATGCACACAAAGGGCCAATGTATGGTGCTTTTTAGGGCGATACATGTGCGAAATTCTAAAAAAGGCACCCAAAACGGCAGATGCCACAAAAAAGGGCACTCTTTACAAATTATTATTATTATTTTTTTTTGGGGGGGGGGGGGTAAGCCCGTTGAAAAAAAGGGCATTTGAATGGAAAAAGGCAATCTGTACAAATTATTGGGCGGGGGGGATAAATACACCCCCCCCCCCCGCTAGCTACGCCTATGGAAAATAAATTTAAATGCATTAATAATAAAATATAAACAGTTAAAAGAATGCACAATAACAAAATATAAGAACATGTGAAATTTGTGAAATTCCTCATTCAATTTTGAGGTAGGTGAAATGTCACCTTGTGGCAAGTTATCTGAAACACGATATTTTCTTGTCCTCCGTATGAACAGAACGTTTTCCGATTTTGTCAGACCATGAAGGATGGGTAGCTGCTGCAGCGGTGAAGACAATACAGAGAAAGAGCCGATTAGCGAAGGTATGCTTGAAATAGTTGGAGGCCTCGCTACATTTTTTCCCAATCATTTCCAAGAATACAAATTATGGAAAGCCTTTCTTTACAAAAATTCTGGACAAAATATGAGATCTTCAACGAAAATTATTCTCTAGCCTTGATCGAGTTGCGACTTAAGGGATCACAGAAGACGGATTCAAAAATGGCGTCCTATACAACTATGTCCAAAAAAAGTGTTCGTCTGACTATTTTTAAAAATAACTACAAAACCATGAAATCAATTTTGAAAATTTTTGATTGTGCAGATACTATCTTATCCTAGGCCTATACCCCTATGAGTTTCATTTTATTTCGGTCACGCATCACTACACAATTGTCAATTGGGCACAATAACATTTTTGGATACTGTGACCAAGTTACTTGTGTTAACATGAGCAGGAATCTGCGAAATACCGAAGTCGATCCATTTTGTTCCTAATTTTATTCAGATTCTGGTGACAGACGGGGCCCTGTAACATCAGATCAGGCACGCAGCAAATACGTCAGAGGTACGTTAAGTTTAATACAATAGTGGTTTTTGTTGTAGCTTTGCTTTGTGAAATACGTCGTGTCCCAAACATTTTAGCTGTGGGATAGCAGCTCAACAAATCATCATGTCTCTCCGTTAGTTAGTTATCGGTAGTTAGTAACAAACGTTGACATTGTCTATTGCTCCTACATATTTTGATCGATTTCAATCAAACTTAGTCAAAAGTACGGTGGCCCAGCCCCAACATGTCACATGACTAAACTGGGGTCAAAGGTCATCATGGGGTTACTGGGATCAAAAATCTGATTTTTTTAAAACTCAAAACAGTACCCCTTTCAGAGAAATTACATGGCACAATCACGTGACTCATGCTTGAACGCGAACTGGTTGGCCCGCAGCTTCCGAGATCCGATCCAGCTTGTTTGCATCTCGGTATTAAGTCATTGACCGTAATACGCATTCGTGAAACATATCACGTGAACGAATAAATAAGTCACCTGATTCGGAATAAGTTCCTGTATATAGCTTATATTCCACGGCAGTCAGTGTATACCTTGTATCAGTTTCGTATACCTTGATGCACCGGGTTCAACTCGTGGAGGAATTTTACTGATGATCTATATTGGAATGACTATAATTGGTTGCAGAAAAAGTAATAGCAAACCGCGACCCATCCCAACGAAAGGAATAAAAAAAATATTCCCTCTTGCAACCTTTAATGGTATGTCATTTAGCAATACTCGAGAGCTCCAATCGCAGTCTGAATAATAGTTACACATAAAGTGTCACTCCCGTAAAATATCCTACAAAATCTCTGGCTGCTTTCCATCGTTTTTAAAGTTAACAGAGTCGGCAGCTCAATAACATGCAAATACAATTAGTCACAGACTAATTGGCATTTTGACAGGTAGACCATACAAGCAAATTCTCATCAACAAAAAAGTGCAGCAAAAATTCTGAGAGAACCTGGAGGTACGTTTTGAAAAAACTATAAATTCATCAAATTATTGTGTAAACCTGAGCCTTGTTTTCTACCACAGAAAAGCTCAAAGCTAAAGAGGAACGCCAGCCATTGCTCCCCTCTGCTGAAGAACCGAATAATGACCGGTCAAAGGCGGCCGGGCACGGTGCTATAACTGACCCAAGAGAGGTAGGTTTTGCGGGAGGCTGTAGTTAACTTTATGCAGTGGGTGCCGATTGAAAAATATAAATAAAAAAAATTAAAAAATAAGTTCTGATTCCTCGTAGGGCATATTTACCCTTGCCCCATGCGGAATAACAGTTCACAAATTAAAGATATTTTATGATAAGAAAGGAAACAGACAAAAATGAGTCGACACTATCCAAAGTTTCCGATTGATGTCCTGTAAAGCTTGATTTCCTTTTACGCGGCCCAAAGACAAGGATATATCCCTTATGTTACATTCATTCTCCACTATCCCAATCGGTTTTTTCGTCAATACACTAATAGGTTACCATTTTTGTGCAAAACGTTCGTCCAACAGTAGGCCTATTTCTTATGCACAAAAAATGGACAATTTTGAATTCATATATTTGATGAATTAAACATTTTCAGGAATCATTGAACAGGCTTTGCAGTTATTTTGTTAAACTTTGTTTTTCACAACATGAAACATTTGAGATACCTCGATCATATCCGAGTGTCGGAAAAAAGTGAAGAAAAAAAAATCGGAAATTTTTAGAAACAAAAGGAATGCTGCTTAATTTGATCCCATGATATTGAAAAGTCGGAATCTTTAGGTCTAGGAACCAGACTAAAAGTTGGCTTTTCGAGCCGAACTTTTAGGGGCACACTGCATTGTGAATCCCCGCATTTGCATTGCGCTGGATCTGTCGCACCGCGTATTATTTGCTAAACAAAGTTGAAACTTGATTGTTTTGACTCCCTAGGTTGCCCATATCAGAAGGGAGAAGTTAAGAGAGGCAGAGGTGGCAACTGAGAAGATGAAATCAGGCGCATCGATATGGAAAAAGACAGCCGCTTTACTGGCAAGACGATGAACTGCGTGGACGATATATCTTATGTAATACTAACAGGGGGCGATTTTCATCCTTTAAAATAGCTGCATTTCCATATTCATGAGCTAAGTGTGATGTCATTTCAGGCAGAAAACTCAATGTTACAGCTATTTCAGCACCAAAAATTGCCAGAAGTTTTGATATTTTGCTGTCCTAAATTTAATTTTCGTTGGCGATTCGTTGTTGTTTCGGTAAATGACAGTAAGCCAATGAGCAAAGTTTTCTCACAGTTATTGTCTTCAATGAGCAAATTTGAAATGAGAAAACCCCTTAAGTCAACAGTGTCTTTCTGAAATGACATCACGGCAACAGCGCCCTCATTTGGCAGGAACAGAATGGAAAATTTACAATGTTAAAAAAGTGCACTTTTTGAAAAAAATTCACCAATAAGCAGTTTCAAAAAGATATCAAACATTTAAGAGGAGTAGAAAGTTGCACAAGATATATGCCCAAGCAAGATTCATGTCATGGGCCCCTTAAGTAAATAGACCACTTGCCTCTGACGTCATATCATAGGGCAGGTCTTTGGTCGTCTGTGAACGCATCAGTAGACGCATATTGTACTTTCATTGTCACTACATTTAAAATAAAAGCAATGACAAAAAGCTGTCCTCAGACAGGGTGCACCTTGCAAAGGGTCTACTGATGCATAATTGGGCCCAAATTGCTTTCTCCTTGCATCTGGATGGGGCGATAATGTTGAACAATGCCATTTTGGCAGCGTCTTTTTGAAATATTGAGGGCACAATTGCTGAACTATCATCAGTATGTATGAACGCACTTTTCGTCTTTCAAGGGTGCGTTCCCAGTGCTTTTTCAACTTCCACCTCGAAGAAATTTATTTTTCAATTACTCTTACCCTAGCAATGTAAACGTTATTCACTTTTTGTATAAGAAATTGAACGATAAATCCATTGACGTTTAGTTACTGAATTATTTCTTCTATTCACAAAATTCGAAATATTGCATGACAGACAATATTTGGCTCTAGCAGGTCGGTTCATTTGTGCGCAAAATGAAATCCTTCTTTTGAGAGATTTGCAGACGACCAAAATCGAAAAAAGTAGTTTTTTTCGTTAAAACAAAACGTACACATTGAAGTTTTGTGAGGACCAAAAACACTTTTTTTTTAAGAGCACGAGGTATGTAACATAAAAGTTTTTCTGCCAAAATATTCTGATTTAGACAACAATTATTATAGAGTTACACTTTGAAATTGCTAAACATCATGAGCGCTGAATTGAAATAAGTGAATGGCGATATCGTACCGGTTGTGCTGTCGATAAATTTATTATAAGTTTCATTATGGCCAACTTAAGGCCTGATGAATGTTTTAAAAATGATACTTACATCATTTTTATATCCGTAATTTTTTTGCAATACTAAATATATATTCATATATAAAATAACTAAATATTCCTTGAGTATGTTGTTCTTTACTGGAACTTTTCGTCCATTTCCATTCGTTATCCTTTTTGTGGAATTACTTGGTAATATAGCTGCAGTGGCGCACCCAAGGGGGGGGGCCCTCGGGGGGCGTGAGCCCCCCCCCCCAAGAGGTTGTCATTTTTTGTTGTTGTAATTTTTCTTTTTAGTTCCACGATTTGACCTTGGTTATATGTACGTGGCCTATTTTCGAGTAGTATAATAGGGGTGTAAGTGGCACCACCAACGTCAAAATAGTCCGTCCCCCCCAAAAAAAAAACCCCACTGGTTTCCAGTCCCTCCGTCATCGGTCCTGACTTAGAATGTAGGAGCGGGAACCAGTTTAATGAACACTGAAAAGCGGGGAATTTTCTGTTGCAAGAAGCGGTGATATTTTCACTGAAGCAGAGCCATAAAATTGGGCCCAGTTCGCAGACCAGTGAATGAACCCGAAATTGCCTTTACGCCGACCAAAATACTTTAGTTTTCACTCTTTATTAAAAGAGAGTTTTGCGGACCTTGCATTTGAGATCGAGAATTTGTATAGCACCAATGGTTGATCCAGACGTGACATGTAACTTAGTGCTGAGAAAGTGAGGATAAAATGTGACAGAAAAGTCACTCTATGTTGCATTTGAGTGGATTGATACTTTTCAAAATGGTGATGGACTTCAGGACTGCTTTTTATGCGGTGGTCGTTCTTTAGAGGCAAAAATCATCCAAAATGCAAGGTCAAGCCCACAAAAAATTGAAAAGAAAATGAAAAAGGGGTAATTAACTTTAATTAGATGCCTATATCTTGAACACCATGGGTAGTTGTGGGTAATTTTATTTATTTATTTATTTTTAAGTAGGAGTATTTATCGTGGTGTCGATGGGAATTTATATACAGGGCAGCACCAATCAATGTTTAGGTCCAGTCTAGTCTGGTTCCCTGTCCCCATTGTCATTCAGACTCCAAATATGGGGACAGGTAGCTAGCAGTGAATCCTGAATGCATTAAGAGACTTTCCCCATGATGTTGCAGATTATATGCATGACGTACATGGTCTGACTCCCGCCTCCTGAATTCAAAATCACAACGGTAATGTTTGCGCGCAACCAGCCTATTACGAAATGCAATAGGCTCTGCCACGAATGTGCAATATCGGAGGTGATGAGGTTCGATTTTTGCTGAATTTGACAGTTTCTCTGACAAATATCAATAAAGAGAGGAGCATTACTATTCAGTTTTTAAAACGTGCTGTTGAATGCTTGAAAGTTGCCTCCATGGAGACACTGGCGATTTTGAATACTCATTGTGGTAAGACAAGAGTCAGTTTTTTGTTAGCTATGTGTTCAACTATCGTCCATGCACAAAGCTGAGCTGTGATTTAGAAATAAACGCGTGCAGAGGTAAACCAGTCAACGGCTTTAAATGGAAGCCAGCTACCGATCCCCATTTTTCTTGGGGGGGGGGGAGCTGGGAAACAGTCTAGGTCCAGTCTGGGAACAAGATTATTTCAAGAAATGGTGGCGCTGTTACATTTTAAATTAAATAGCGCCCTCTTGTGATAACACATGATGCCGACGTGCAGCAATGGACTGGTTCCCGCTCCCATAATATGGGCATTCGAAGCCTTAAGGACAATGGAGGGACCGGGAACCGGACCAGTCCCTATACTAACTGCAGGAAAACCGTGAAACACTTCCTGGTTTTTACGCTAGCACTTTAATATCAATCATGCCTAAAATTAAACATTGCCTAACGTACAAATAAAAACATATTTTGCATTCGCAGTGTGTTTTGTAAATTTGAAGTCTTATTAATCTCCACACATAAAATAAAAGGGCTAAGCTGCAGTGTGCCACAGTGCCTGGACTTTCAAGCGGTGCACAAGTTGAGCTAATGAGAAGAGCTACAACTTTCAAGACAAGAAGAAAGTAGGCGTACATGCACATGTACCTGGAGTGAGCAAAACTCTGTTTGACTCTGATCTCTTCGTAGACTTCGATGGCTTCACAGATAGTGCCTTCACTTGATGAGGTGGGTATACGAATCACCCATTCTGTGGCCCCATTACTGGACACCCTCAGTAAACATGGAAAAGGAGACCACAAGAACATTCAGGCTAACACAACTTTGTACTTTTTAGTTCTAGAATTACTTGACCCGGCCATGTGCCTTCTTCGAAGTTTTTTTCGTTGGGGCCGTTTCACAACTCCCTCCTATAACTCTTTTTTTTTTTTTTTTAAAGAAGTACTTAGACCCAGTAATATGGGTAGATCTCCTTTCTTCGAATTTTGACTTTGGTCGGTCGTACTAGCACGATCGCACTAGCACGATCGTACTAGCACGGTCGTACTAGCACTAGATTTGACATCTTGCGTGAACGAAAACCAAGATATTTTGTAGAAAACGATTGTAATAGACAATGGGCGCTGTAATGTCATGTCGACAGGCAACTGCTGGGATACTTGTGCATGTTATACGGCCCAAATTATTCATCATCCCCTCAAGCACATCAGCTACAGAGAGCCTACCTTTGCAATTAGTACCTGCTATTGAAAACAGGAAATTCCGAAAATCCACAGTTTTGAGCGAGAACTTGACAGATTTTACAAAAGTGACACACAGACATCAGACAGAAAGACAGACATCAGACAGACACCACGGCAGACAGCACGACACTGCGTATGCTTTTTTTAATATAGGATTACATATACATGCTATGCATGAGCAGTTTTGCAGATTAACACATCTAGACTTTAGTCAACCTAGCACAACTGACAGCTTCAGATTTAATGATTATTTTAAAAGATGACAAAATTTCTCACATTCATTGCAATTTTTTTTTTAATTACCCAGCTTGCGTTGCTCAAGACCAAACTAGATGCAACTGACAGCTTCAGATTTAATGATTATTTTTAAAAAAATGACAACATTTCTCACATTCATTGCAATTTTTGTTTAATCACCCAGCTTGGGTTGCTCAAGACCAAACTAGATGCAACTGGCGCAATGATCATTGAGGCTGGTGACTTCAACTGGGATAGCAGTAGACATCTCGGACAAGGTACAAATGGAACAGTGTATTGTATGACATGGAATCGAAAAGGCCATGGGGATGTCCAAGTTGCTGCCAAGAAAACCACCAAAGTCGATCCAAATGAAATAGAAGTTCTGATGCAGCTGAAGCACCCTAATGTCATTGGTTATTATGGTGTGGTCTTCAAGGAGCCCTCTCTCTTTATTATAATGGAGTATGCCCCACTTGGCTCCTTAGACAAATTTCTAGGTGACCAGGCCGGGAACATGCTGCCATTGAATCAGATTCTTCAGTGGTGTACCAACTTGGCTCTTGCAGTGCAGTACTTGCACGACAAGGACTTGGTGCATCGGGACATTAAGGCGAGTAACTGCCTCATCTGTCAGGATGGGGAACTGAAGCTTTGTGACTTCCATGATGCCAGACAGCTAGAGACAACTGCTAGCACCGAGCACCGAGGATCTTGGCCCTGGATGGCACCCGAGGTCATGTCCCAGAGGAAGTTTTCCAAAAAATCGGACATCTACTCTCTGGCCGTGGTTTTTTGGCAGATCTTCACGCGCCAGGTGCCATTTGCAGATCAGCAGACCGGGATGCAGATTGTGTGGCTTGTGTGCGAGTATAAGAAGCGACCGTCAATTCCCCAGGGTTGCCCAGATGCATTTGCAGCTCTTTTGAGCGATGGTTGGAAGGAGGAATGGAGCGAAAGGCCTGACATATCTCAGATACTTGAAAGATTAAGCAGCATGGCCCCATGAATCTGAAAGCAAACAAAACCCATACACACAACCACGGATGTTTATGGTGTGAATTGAGGACTTCCTAGTGTTCCTCATCATCGATCTTTTGGCTTTGTTTAGGGTGTCAATCGAGGACACACATGTGAAATATCCTTGTGTAATTGAGGACAGGAGTCAAATCGAGGACGTCCTCGATTAGAAAACGTGTACAAAACCAATGGGAGCCGTTGCAAAAAAATTAGAGTATGAGCACCCACGTTTGTTGAGGGTGTACATCGAGGAGTTTCTATTGTTCCTCTTCCCTTTTCCTTTGTTTATCCCTTAACGTTTCTGCAACAGCTCTCACTGGTATTGTACACGTTTTCTAACCGAGTAGTCCTCGATTTGGTTCCTGTCCTCGATGTTGCACGTTTGTGTCCACGATTTTAATTACACCATAAACAAACACACAATACTAATTAATAAAAAAACAACAACAACAACAACAAAACAAACAAACAAACAAAACAAGTTTTGGATTAGGAATTCCTCACAACCGTTCTTGTACTTTTTTGTAGTCAGGGCTTTCCTTGGTTTTGGGGAGTGTGAGGTGGTACCCAAAATCAATGGCGGACTTAAAACTGCGCACTCGCGTATTTCAGCTTATAAATATGCTTGCAAAATATAGTTGCATGTACACACAAAAGCTTGCTAAATATCAGATGTTTCTTTTGTTTGGTAGAGAGTGGAAAACACTTGTTTTAATACAGAAACAAGTTCTAAGTGACAAAAAGTCCACTCTTAACACAAAATACAGTACCGTTACTTGTTTGCATTTATTGCTTGTTATTGCAATTGTCGTTCGTGAGGTAGTATTTACGGTGAAAACCCCCAGAGATTCGCTGCATTTTTGCGAGGTGGGTCACCTCGCAATTGCATAATTGACAGGAAAACACTATTGGAGTATAGTAAAACCTTCTCTTGTTTGTAACAATTTATACAAATGAAAACAAATAAATAATTTTTGTACAAATGAAATTGCATAATTGACAGGGAAACACTATTGGAGTATAGTAAAACCTTCTCTTGTTTGTAACAATTTATACAAATGAAAACAAATAAACAATTTTTGTACAAATGAAATTGCATAATTGACAGGGAAACACTATTGGAGTATAATAAAAACTTCTCTTGTTTGTAACAATTTATACGAATGAAAACAAATAAATAATTTTTGTACAAATGAAATTTGTTTACAAATGGAAAACAAACAAATAGGACACACTGCTATTAAATTCCCTTGACCCTTATACTAATTTTATAATTTACATTCCGTCACACAAGTCAAGATAAAAGTGTCCATTATGGATACTATAAACACTAACTTGCCAAATTTGTTAGAATTTCAATGCAGTACTGAAATACTTTTTAAGCGTTTGTCTATTTTGAGAGAGAAGCTTTGTACTTTTCAGTCATAGTTTTGTGGAGTACAATTTAAATGAAAAAGACCTAATAACAATACCTGATTTATAGAAGGTGCTTTTTTGACAACTATTTTCAATAAATGTACATGTACATTCAGATGCATCATGGGTGTGGTTTGTTGAGGCTATAGAATATCTTACACTAGTATTAAAATACACTATATATAGAAGGCATTGCGCCAATTGATCTAGGTCAAAAAATCCACAGCATTCTGGTGGTTAGATTACAATAAGCATTTATATGATTCTGTCATTTTGTTTGGTACCCAACTGGGAATTATTTTGAAACAGTTTTTTTTGCCAACACAGCAATGTGAATTTGGATGATTTTGATATTTTGGGAGAAAATGGTGGCAAAATATACCGAGTTTCCTGCCTTCTCTTAAAATCTTCCAACAAAAAATTGGACAGAAAATGAAACTACAATCCCGGCCAAAATGGTTGGGACACTTCTCGCGCCTGCCACGGTCACCCACTCCCCCGCTCCTCCGGTCAATGTTGTTCTCCCCAGCTGATGGAGCACACACCGCGCAATGAGAGACAACATTGAACGGGGGCCGGGGGATCGCGAGGGTGGGGGCCCATCGAGATTTTGCCAGGATTGTAGGTACATGCCAGTAATTAAATCGGTCCGAAATTGCCTACGCCGGCCAAATCACGATTTACATGCCCTCATAATATTATTATTCAGTATTTTAGCACATTGTGGGCCATGAACTTGAGGATTCGTACAAAATAAGGATGGGAGCCTGCACTGGATTGTGAGCTTGTATTTCTGTACAATTTGGATGAAATTGGGGCCCTAAAAGCGCTCTCTTTTGCAATGGAGTGTAGGCACCGTTTTTCAAAATGGCCCTAAAAGCGCTCTCTTTTGCAATGGAGTGTAGGCACCGTTTTTCAAAATGGCGACGGGCTTCAAGACTATATTTTAAGGGATAATTATATTCGGGTGGAAATTTCTCCCAAAATTCATCAAGTTGAAGAAAGACCATGACATGAGCTTTAAGTTTGATGTGTGTCTCGAACACCTTGGAGTGTAAATTGTGAGGTATATTTCCTGACTTTCTGAAGTGGGGCCATTTATCATTGGGGTCTTTATTGCACCCATAGGGACACTGTTAAAAGCGGGCCCTTAAATGGACGCTCTCGGACAGTAGGTGGAGCTCTTCAGCGCTGCCGACTGACGTGCCTCGCTTTTTCCGATGATGTCGCCGGCCCCTTCGCGATCCCCCACCCCTCCCGGCTCGCTCTTAAAATCTGTGGCCGTTTGCAATTTGCAACTGTGCAACTCACCCCCCCCCCCCCCGCTATGACACTGCCCTGAGGTGGGTATTATCGGCGCTAAGAATGTCGGTAAAAGGGAGAACAACAAATATCAAGCAGCGGCATCCATTTTTAGAGATCTTCGAAATACAAAATGTACTACATCGTCACGCACACATTTTTATAAAGTATGACATTTTTAAAAGTTGGTATATAGAGCCCACGTGCCTTTTAAAAAAATTGAATTTTCTTTTCCGAACGAAATATGCAGGACTATTGTGTCCTGTAACAAATAATTTGCTTGTTTGAGTTTGCAGGCCTTTACTCAAATTTGAAAGTTGGCTTTAACTGACGCGCTCCAGTTCTGAAATTGCGCACACTATTCAAAACGAATTAGGAGCGTCCCGCTCTTAGTTCGGAAGTTGAAATTAAATAATTGATTGCTTGGTATGAGCCGATTTTTTTTCGTGCGATGTCTCAGTTGAAAGCTCATTGAAATGTTCGATTTGTGGGATTAAATTCCATTTGTAAACAACATAGTTATTTACGATCATAAGTAAGACTTTTTTTGACACGACGTATGAAAAGACGTCGCGCCGGCAGATACTATCAAATTCTAGCACTGTACAAGAGTCGCCCAGGCCCCTATCCAGGAGGGGGGGGGGGGGGGTTCCTACCCCCAGCTCTATTAAACAATTGTTTTCATAGAAATTTTCTGAAAATAATGTGAACCCCCCCCCTCTGACACCCCCAAAAATGTTCACAATTAAAGAAACGTTTTTATTTTGAAACATGTAATAAACACATTACAACTTTGTACATTTTTATTTTTGCCCGGTACAATACTGCATACTGCGTTTCTTTACTTCATTTGAAATTGCGACATTAATAATGGCATAGTCATATTGATCGAACAAAACTTCGTTTTGATTATAGTCAATTATTAAAAATTCATTGATTTATTACATAGACCTTTGCTTTGTTTTTAATACTACCGTAGGCCTGCCGAGCAGATGTAATCATCAAACTTATTAAACCAAAGTTTTAAAAAATACAGGCAAAAAAAATCAAAAAGTTATGTGCTAGCCAAGCATTCAGGGATCGGTCTGAGCCATAACAATGCCCAGCCAATCCCTTAGGGCTCTTCCGGGATCTCGGCGTTCCCGACCAATACACACTTCCTTCCCTGTCCATCCATGTAACCCGGAGGGCCAGTCACCATGTAAAAGCAAAGCGCTAAGGGAGGAACAGGGCGGCACCCTAAGCCCTGATCCTCCGAGTGGACCACATGCCCTGAACCTGTACGAAGGTGCCAACCTGGAACTCGCGGACAGTACCAGCAGCAGTGCTTACCGATTAAGCTAAGGTACTGTTGGTATTTTACGTCGGGAAATTAAACATCTTATAATGACTGAATAGAACGCGTGTGTATGAAAAGCAAAAAGACACCGACGGGATTCGATCCCGGGCTCCGCGATTCGTGGACGACGGATCTAACCACTCGGCCACCAGGCTTCCTTAGAATTCTCCTCAAAAACAATTTGTCTTAATAATAGGCGGAGAAACCTGGAACATTGCTGTGTGCATCTGTTTTGGCTTTATGGACGAACAGAATTGAAGTCGATGTTTTGGGCAGTAATGAGTCAACTGTTTTCATTTGTTTGGACAATTGTATACGGCAGCCTCGTTAGTAATAGGCCCGTACGTGCGCTAAACATACTTATCGTTACGCAACAATGAACACTATTATTGTGTACGCTATTTTGAATTTTGGCGGGGTGGGGGGGGGGGGGGGGGTTCAGGCCCGTTAGATTTCTATATTCGATCTTATCATTTTTGTAACTTTGCCTATTTTGTGTGTATCAGAGCGGGGGGGGGGGGGGGGGGGGGTCCAGCTGGGTCTCCGGGGGTGTGGTGTTCGAACCCCCTGTGGATCCACGCCTGACTTGTACTGTTTGTATTTGGAGAGATACAGATTCTCAACTCCATCACAACTATTTCAACAAAATACGGACGTTTTTAAAAAAAGGAAACGATAATTTGTTTTTACGGATTTGTTTGGTAACACTGTCAATCAGGCCTCTATGCCTATTCCGTTTGCTGTTCCCAACAGTCCTTCACCAGGCTGTAATCAAACATTATTTTCATGAAAAATAAAGTAAACAGTACGTTCTCATCCTTAATTCGAAAAAAAAAACACCCAAAACACACAAAACTGAAATATACACGAAAACAACATTACACCAGAACACCACATTACACTAGGGGAGCAGGTCACGATACCGATGTGCCTCCTTTATGATAGCACTTCGTACGTACCCCGCCCTGCAAACAGGGCCAAGGGCGCTGGGCCGGGAAGGGCTAAGCTGATGAGCTTCACAGAATCTTGTGAAGGAAGTAGAGATGGCATTCTGGGTAACTTATCATGCCCTATATATAAAGACATAATTAAAGCTGCTGTAGCTGTTTAAAGGGTGCAGGCTAGTCTGGTTCCCTGACCCCATTGTCCTTTGGACTTGAAAAATATCTTTAGGTGGGGCCGGGAAACAGTCTACAATCCCGGCCAAAATGGTTGGGACACTTCCTGAGCCTAACAACAGTCACCGCTCCCCCGCTCCCCCGCTCCCCCGGTCAATGTTGTTCTCTCCAGCTGATAGAGCACACACCGCGCAATAAGAGACAACATTGAACGGGGACCGGGGGAGGGTGGGGGCCCATCGAGATTCGGCCAGGATTGTAGAATGGGGGCGAATTAAGCTTTAATTTCAGTATCTGTCTTGAACACCTTGGATATAGTTGTGAGACGTGAGAGTTGGGAAGTGGCATCTGTCTATAGGAATTTATACTCGTGCTCTGCATCTCGGCTAGTCTGCATCAGTGGAAAATGTATGGGACATTGATCTCCATTATACCGTGTAATTACCAAATTACTGCAATATAATATTTATCTTGTGCTTCACCGACGACGTGATTGTTCAATTCCTCCTTGTTATCCTCGTGCGTGAGTTTATGTTCTTAAATCTTGCCACCAAGAATGACTTGATCTGAGATGCACGGAGTTACCTGAATCCTTCATGTGTGGGTTTCAAAAGAAAGGCCTTCTCAGACGCGGATCCAGAGGGGTTTTTGTGGGGGTCAACCCCCCCCCCCAGCTCTGTCCAAATTGTTTTTCCATACAAATTCCTACAAAATAAGTCGAACCCCCCCCCCCCCCGCTGTGACACCCAAAAAAAGTTGTACTGGTATAATGTTTGCCTGTTCAAAATACGGTAGACCATTCTGTAATCTAGTGTTAATAATCATCGAATTTTAACAGCGCCCCCTATTGAAATATGGTACCAGCCCCCTCCCCCCCCCCCCCCCTTTTTGATTTTACGGAGGCCAAGTGTCCGGAGAAAAAAAACCTGTGAACATTTTCAGATTTTTGGGCTGATGAAACTCCCACCCCTGCGAAAATTTCTGGATCAGCCCCTGACTTCTGTGATGGAGCAGACGAAGAGATGTCAGAAAATTAATGACGGAGAGTGCAGTCTTCGTGGGTCGTGTTCCCGCCGTTCGAGCGCGGCAAAACAATCATACCCGTGTCGAGAACAAACCGCCCAAACTCGGCCCACGGGATTCGCTCGCCCCCCGCCCTGCAAACAGGACGCTGGGAAGGGCTGACGAATTAACGCTCTGATTGGATATATTTTGCGTGACCTGTGACCAGCAAGTCATCACGACCACGACCCTGCAAGGTTTGAAACGGCCGTTAAGACTGAGTCATTCATCACTCTTTTATTCCCATTCATTAATGCGGCGCTCTTTTTTGGTTGAAAAGCATAATAATGTAGGAAAATCTGTAAAACTTATCTGTTTTGTAAATTTTCAACTCCCATCAGTTGCTCAGGCTCCGTTTCGAATTCACGAAGGGTCGACGAAATGCATATGATTCGACGCTCAAAATTTTGTCCCCATGGTCCGCAATGAAAAGCAATCACATCCGGTATAGTGTGTATGCATTTATATGGCAAACATTTCGGATAGTATTTGCGCGCATTTGGCTAACCGTGGTTATACAGCTGTAGCCAGATGCTTTATACATATGTCATGATAAACTTACCCAGAATGCCATCCACACTTCTTTCACAAGATTCTGTGAAGCTCATCTGCCCTTCCCAGCGCCCTGTTTGCAGGGCGAGGTACGAGCGAACCCACGGGAATCAAGTTAGAACCAAATACTCGAACGAATGAAATTAATGGTGGCGCTGTTTTATTCAAAATTAAATAGCACCCTCTTGTGATAACACATCGCATGGAAGTAAACAAGCAGGAAGTACTAGTAGCTCCATGGTAGTACGTACGTACATGTACATGTATGTAGTACTACTCATGATGTAGAACTACATAATACTCGCGCTGGCGTGCTTGGCGCATAGTTTTCCGCCATGCTTGACGTAAAGATTAAAAATATTCAATACATTCATAGTGTTATTTGTAAATATGAAGTCATGTCGTTTGCACATTATAAACTGGCTGACCTACCATTGATCCAAAACGTTCAACCGTATAGGCGTACGTGAATATCCGTCTCTTCGACGATCATGGCTTCACAGATATTGCCTTCATCTCATGGTGAGGTAGGTATGTCGGTCCATGGAGGGAAAAAGGCAATGTTTTTTCATGTTTTTATTCCTCCATGGTCGGTCACACTTCGGCACCTTTTGTATCGGAGTCCGGTGTTTTTTGGGTTTTGTGCGAAACTTGTCACATCCACGGAAAAAGAATTGCAAGACAAATGTAATGGCATTAAATTCAGTTCCGTAGATGCGTTTGTTTCGGAGCATGGAGTTATACCACTTTAAAGGGGTATATTTTGGTGTCGGTGTCTGTATCCTGGCGACCGCGTAAGATTGATTTTCTGGAAAAGACTAGACGGGCATGTCGAAATTACCTCCCCCTTCCCCCTCGTCTTTTGTTTGTAAAGAATAATTCTAGTTTTCAACAATCCTGATTGGCTACATCTTTCAAACAAGCGGAAAGAATGTTGCAATCTGACGCCACTTTTATTGTCATATATATCAGGAAAAAATTCCGTACTGGATCGCCACTTTTTTCAATTAATTTTCAAGTGCCAAAAGTTGCATCCTTTATGGTTATTTCCTCCACTTTCCCTTCTCTACTCTCACCCTCTCCTTTCCTTTATTCCTATTTATTAACTAATCACTTACTTCATCGAGATTCGAACATCGGACTCTTGTTTGAAACATGAGACTTTTAACCGCTAGGCCGTGCACGATCGTTGTTGCAATGATCAATCTTTGGACGTATTTGAAAGTACCATTGAAATAAACTAAATATTCATGACAAAATAAATATTCATAATGACGTATTGTACTATCATTGGCCGGCTCATGCGTTGTCATGGTTGTCGATGTCATGCGTATAACGTACCGCTGTCTTCCAGACACTTCAATCAGTTTTGACCGGCTGCTTCATCTTAGTTCTGCACGACGTGTGCATCCAAAATGTGCTCTAAAAACACATTTTTCCTAATTTTTTTTCGCATTGCCGGGGCTTCATGGATTCCTCTTGGGTGAAATCACAAGGTGAGGTGAAAATTGATGTGTTTGGCGGCAGGTAAAGTGGTGATCCAGTATGGAATTTTTTTCCCAATTTGGTTAGGAAATAACTTAAAAAAAAATCTTGACTCTCCATAGACTTTGCACACATCCACTGAAGTGGCGTCTGGATACTACATTCTTTCCAAAGTATTTTCTTATTACATCATGGTGTAAGGGACATTCATCTCAAGTAATGTATTTCTTCGACACAAAACGCAAATTTGTATTAGGGCGATGAAGTTGGTCAACACGTTCTTTTTTAGTTTTCACAAAGCGATGTGACAGGCATCTTTTTCCTAATATAATTAATATCACAAAACGTTTTAATATGTTTGCCCGGCCAATTTCCTAAAATGTTCATTCATTTCTGAAAATCAGTCATTCATTTTCGTCTGAATTTGAGAATCGCTCTGAACACGCGTTTCATTTTCGCTACCAGAACATTCGATTCCACAATCAATTAAGTGATTGAGCAGCACATTTCGTTTATGCTCATTCAGATTCGTTTACAAGACTTCCTTTTCGCTTTTAGAGGGCGATTTGAAACATTGGTCATTCTATTTCACTTTTAGTTTAAGTTAAATGTGATGCAATCTGCTATTTTGAATGAGAAAAACGTACTTTTTATTGCACATTCACGAAATTTGCTTGCGTAAATGAATGCACAGGTAACGTAATTGGCCGTCTGTTTCTCAAAACCGAATGCACGGACAATGAAATCTATTGAACTTTCGTTGAATTGAAATGGGATTATAGACGTTCATTCAAATTCAGACGAAAACGAATGACCGATTTTTCAGAAGTGAATGAACATTTTAGGAAATTGGCCGGGAAAACCTATATTAACAAAAAAAATTGTATTTATAATTCAATAATAATAATAATTATAATTCAGGTAATAATAATTCAAAAATAATATGACTGCTTAATATTTTGATCATCTGTTCCGACCGAAGATGTTCGGCATTTCGCAGTATAAACAAACTGAACTTCATGTGCGAATAATTATTTCAGTACGTACACCGCGTTCCGTGATTTTTTAACATGACTCTCTCTTCGTGAAAACGGGGACGATTTTTGAATTTCATGACACTAAACTTGTTTACAAGGGTTAAGCAGCAAGCAATTCTCAAAGTGAACTACCAGTGAGTATTTAATTGAATATTTACCGGTGTCATGCTACAGAGTAATACCGAACTGCGCCACGTATATCTAAATATGAAGTGTGAAGACATCAGCGCACGAACCAGAACAATGACAGCTGACGTCACACTTCGGTAGGAGCAGTTCAGATTGATAAATCTCTGAAGTCTGGTTCTAGATACTACATGTAACACAACTGTCATCTTCAAATTTGATGTTAAACAAATGACAAAATTGTCTCACATTCATCGCAGTCTTTTTTTTAATCACCCAGCTTTGGTCGCTCAAGACCAAACTTGAGGCATCTGGCGCAATGATCATTGAGGCTGGTGAGTTCAACTGGGACAGCAGTAGATATCTGGGGCAAGGTACAAATGGAACAGTGTACTGTATGACATGGAACCGAAAAGACCACGGGGATGTCATCCAAGTTGCTGCCAAGAAAACCACCAAAGTTGATTCAAATGAAATAGAAGTTTTGATGAAGCTGAAGCACCCTAATATCATTGGCTATTATGGTGTGGTCTTCAAGGAGCCCTCTGTCTTTATTGTAATGGAGTATGCACCGCATGGCTCCCTAGATACATTTCTAGATGACCGTCACCAGGCTGGTAACATGCTGCCATTGAATCAGGTTCTTCAGTGGTGTACCAACTTGGCTCTTGCAGTGAAGTACTTGCACGACAAGGACTTGGTGCATCGGGACATTAAGGCCAGTAACTGCCTCATCTGCCAGGATGGGGAACTGAAGCTTTGTGACTTCAACGATGCCAGACAGCTAGCGACAACTGTTAGCACCGAGCAACGAGGATCCTTGCCCTGGATGGCACCCGAGGTCATGTCCGAGAAGAAGTTTTCAAAAAAATCGGACATCTACTCTCTGGCCGTGGTGTTTTGGCAGATCCTCACGTGCCAAGTGCCATATGCAGATCGGCAGACCGGGGTGCAGATTATGTGGTGTGTGTGCACTAAGAATGAGCGACCGTCAATTCCCCAGGGTTGCCCAGATGAATTTGCAGCTCTTATGAGCGATGGTTGGAAGGAGAAATGGAGCGAAAGGCCTGACATATCTCAGATACTTAAAAGATTAAGCTCAGTGCCCACATGAATCTTAAAGAAATCTAAACACACACGCACACATCCAATCCATCGTCTGTGACACCACGAAGTAGCGGTCATGTACATGTACATACCAGTAAAAACTAGCAATCGGAGAAAACGGCAATTGAAGTTGAACGCTTTCTATAGAACAACACTTTCCTTCAAAACTGCAGGGTATTTTCAGTTGGGTTTCTCGTTGTGGACACTTGATGTATTGAATTTATTAAATTGGTTGGTTTTGACCCGTTTGTATATTAAATCAACAAGAAATAAGAGAAAAAGAGGTGCGTGCTATTTCGTGAAACCATAAAAGCTGCGAAACTATACGTTTGTGTTTTCATGAAGTATTGTAGTACTCTTCAATGTATTACAACACTACTTGAGTGCTACTTCGTGAAAACGGAGGTCAGCGCGCGCGCTCAGCAGACAAGGAGAGTGCTACTTCGTGAAAACGTTTTGCTCGCATTCGAGCTCGCTCTGTGCGCCCCATGCATTATTACAATGGTAAGTGGAACTTGAGTACTACTTCGTGAAAACAAAAAATGTCAACTTCGCGCAAACAAAAGTTGCCATGGATAATTAGCGTAATTATTACAGTAAAGCTCTTAAAGCTTTGAAACTTCTTGCAGTGGTAGGCCTTGATGAATAATGTTTAAAAATGTACAAAACTGAAAACCGAAAAAAATATGGTAGTAACACGTGGAGTGCTACTTCATGATGGTGTCGGTGATATTGTGCGTCACCGACACCACGAAGCAGCACTCCACGTGTTGTCGGTGACGCCATACATGTAATAATAAATAAAACAAACGAAATAGAAAATTGATCAACAAATCAAGTTTTGGATTTGGAATTCCTCACAACCGTTACATGTACTTATAGTCAGGGTTCCCCTAGGTTTGGGGGTTATGAGCTGGTACCCGAAACCAATGGCAGACATGGAATGCTTATTTTAGCTTATGCTTGTTTGCAACACACAAAATATTGATGATTGCGTATCGAAAATATCACATGTAACTTTTTTGTACAGAGTGGAAAAATTGTGGCTTTGGTGCAGAAACAAGTTCTAAGCGACAAAAAGTCCACTCTTTAAAGTAGAGTAGATCATTTGCAGCTATCCAAAAAGTGACTGACAAAATTATTGTTGAAAAGTATACTTGGATTGAAAATAGTAATGGCAATAAACTCCCTGTGAAATTATGCATACCTGTCTTTTATTAGTAGATTTTGAGCACTTGTGATGTTGCTTCAAATGAAAAAATGATTTACTCTACCTTTAGCACAAAATACAGTGCCTTTATCGTATTAATGTTATTTTTGTTGTTGCAATTTTCGTTTGTGAGGTAGCATTTTTGCGAGGTGGGCCACCTAGCTCGCAATTGAATGGGCAGGGAAACACTGCTTGTAGTATAGTAATACCCTCTCTTATAAGATGGAATTTTGCGTCGGGGTGATATAAATCAAATTAGGTTTTGCCCTTCACCGACAGATCCCGTTAGCTCGGTGGTCGAGTGGTAAGACATCTGCACTAGAAAGCGGGAGGTCGTGGGTTCGAGTCCCACCCGAGTGATTTTTTCCAACTTTCACTCGGGAGGTAACACACTGAGTATACAGTGTTAAAAAAACGTCGGTGAAGGGCAAAACCTAATTTGATTTAATACCCTCTCTTGTTTGTAACAGTTTTTAGAAATGAAAAATACAAATAGGCCACGCTGCTTTTGAATTCCCTTTTACCCTCATCCCAATTTTAAAATTTACATTCCATCACAATAATACACTAAATTGCCAAATTTAATAGAAATTCTACGCGATATTCAAATACATTTTAAGCATTTTGTCTATATTTAAAGAGAAATATTGTACTTTTCAGTCATATTTTTATCAGTAGATTTGTGGAGTAAAATTTAAATGAAAAAGACCTAATTACAATTTTGTACCCACATAAGTTGTATTTTTGACAAGTGTTTTCAATAAATGTACATGTATATTTGATGCATCATGAGTGTGGTTTGTTGAGGCTATAGGAAATCTTACACAGATATTAAAATACAATATAGTAGGCATTGTGCCAATTGTTATGGGTAAATACCGTTCTGGTTGTGAGACTACAAAAAGCATTACTAAATTCTGTCATTTTGCTGGGTACCCAGCTGGGAATTAAAACAGTTTTCACCAACACAGCAATGTGAATTTGGATGATTAGATATTTTTTTGGGGGAAAATTATGGCAACTATATTGACTTTCCTTCTCTTAAGATCTGTTCAAGGGTAACATGAAACTATAACACATCTTTTTCTTTGAGCGCCTTGGCCCAAACGTCTTGATGAGTCAATATTTCGTGCGCCCTCAATCTTTAATTCCCATAATAATCGTCAAAAGAGGGCGCTTTCACTTTTCATTGTAAGCCATGATAAAAGTCATGTGCCTCCACTGCTATAGTTTGACCATGGAGGTAGGAAACTAGGGGAAAAGAATCGAACATCCCCCCAAAAATCAAGTATTCGGATTTCTACAATATTAAAAGCCCATGTGTGGATGTCTTTCCTGTATAATTAGAGTGGTACGAAGTAACTATTGAAACATAAATTGGAGAGATGCATTTTTCCTTTTATAGCTCCATGGTTTACTTAAGTCCCAGTGTTAAAATTTCAGGAGAAAACATAAGATCAAAGAATACAGGATAAAACAAAGGTTTCACAATTTCCCGGTAGAGTACCAGAGGACATTCACGGAAACTAGCCAAATCCAGACCAAGACTTGATGTCAGAAAGCACTTCTACAGCCAGAGGGTAGTGGGAAGCTGGAACAAATTGCCTGAGAGTGCCATCCAAGCGCCCACACTTCTCTGCTTCAAGCAGAATTTAAGTAACTTGGGTTTTAATGGGCAAATGAAGCCCCCTAAACCCTGCCACACTTCTCTTCTACATGACATGAAGATGGAGGTGTGGCCTTCAAGGTATGTTCAAGGTATGTAGAGTATCACCCCAAATACCCCTTAACCTCCGTTTACATCTAATTAATACATTTTTTTTCACAATGATCAAAATGTTACCATGGGTCAATCATAATTCTTCTTCAGCTTTATTTTTGTTGCACTTTTCGTAGTGTACTTTATTTCAAGCTTTTATAACCCGAGGTGCACTCGTTCACACTGAACTATTTATTGAATTGATTAATTCTAGTACATGACAGCACCAGCAATCTTATGCGTCGCCGTAGTGTGTATTTTGTTTCCATGATAATGTATTTTAGCCTCGAATATAAGACTTCTTTTGAAGCAAGTCATGATTCACTTATATTAATGGATAACCCCCATTAGGTTTCTTAGGGAAGTTGCTTGTTTCCCGTATTGATAATCATATTGCGCGGCGAAAGGCATGAATATTCATTAGGGGTGTATGCTCACAAAGCCGAGCTATGGGCCTAAGTTTGTTATTCGTACCACACCTAAAGCCCAGCTTTTTGCGTAGAATATCTTTACCAGGGGCAACTTCTCGTGGGAAGGTGGTGCCAAAAATGCAGTTTCGTGTGAGTGTGTGGGTGACAAACCCCGTGGCAGAAGGGGTGACAAGGTAAGTGACACAGTGAGTCATAAAGATCATTTAGTTTTGTGAGTCAGGGCAGTAAAGTGTTATTATGGTATAGAGTAAACAAAGACTGCACGTGCGATTTCGCGCCCGGTCATATCACTCCGTGTGTGACGCATGTGATTTGGCGTAGATAACGTAAGTAATTAAAACAAAATCAAATGGACAGATCATATCTCAAGAATTACGATATAACGTGGGTCTGGGATAAGGTAATTCATGTCGGAACATGGAGAAATAAAATTATCCATGGTCGGATATTCATATGGAATCAGAATCTGTATGCATTTCTTTTGACACGACACTCAGCAAATACAGTGTCATTTCATGTGAGGATGTTTGAAGAGGAAATGTGCTACTAAAGTAGGTTTTCACATTTCCTGTTTCCCTTAGCTACCTACATGTACATGGTTACAATGGTATCAAATTTGCTCATGAAAGTCAAGATCTTTCTTATAGTTCAGTCTCGTAGTCGTATGGCACCTTGCGTGCTGCAGCTGGGTCGACCGTCGAGTGCGACGCTGCGCCCGTCTGGAGTGCCTCAGGATCTTGGACCGAGGTGCGGAGAGCATGGCCAGCGCCAGTCCCTGAGTTGCGGATGAAAGCTCAGAAAAAAGATAATACAATTATTACAGAGTACTAGAAATGGTTTTTTTTTTATAAATATATAACTATTTTTACTTTAATGGCTCAATTTCCTTGGGGCAGTCTATGATTTGGGCAATAACTTAAAAACAAAAAACCACCAAAATTGTATCCAATTTTAATATGACAATTTTCAACACAATTTTTACCGTTTGGCTTGAGGTGGGAGGAAAAGCCCAGACGTTACCGGTATATGAAATCAAAATTAGTCGCTGACAGAAGTAGTAATCACTTGTTTTTATATTATTTTGTGTGTTTCGTTTGTCAGAAGATAATGTTATCATGTTATTATAGATTTCACTAAGAAAAAAAAGTTGGCCCAGAATGTGGACTCACACTTGTCCTGAAAACGTGTTGGCTAATTAGCAAATATCAACGCCAACGGATATTGGATAGTTCAAATATTGCTTTGTTCAGCTTTGCATTATTCCAATGAAGCTCTTATCATTTGGTCGATATTTGAAGCATCCACGCCAGACAGATAAATCAGTTTGATTTTTAGGAACTTTGATCGCAACTATGGCTTCCGTTCCAAAGTTCAGTGGTTGCAAAAGTCACTATGTCAATTGCTTAATTGTCAATTGTATGTTACCCATGGATTTTATTTTGGACGGTACCAACGGGAAAACGTGGTATTGGTATTCTCCCTTTTTAAAAATATACCCTCAAATTCTTGCTAAATTTACATGTAATTCCAGGGAAACATAATTTTGCCGTGCATGTTATTACGATGCTACTATCGTAAGACGACCCTCACATCCGGCGTCCCTCTCGCGAATGAGCTCCGCCATTGACGGCGATCCACCTGCTTTTATACGAAGCTATATATATCGCAATGATTAGCATATAATTATCCCTTATAAGGTAATTTTCCTGGAGGTGAGTGTCCAATCAGCTAACATCTTACAGCGAATGGCCGTGTGATTATGTATCGAAGGCATGGATTGGTTGTCACGCTTGGCGGCATATTCAGTAAACCCAGATGGGTGTTGATTGGACGATGTCGCCACAATCCTCATGGATATGCATGAAGTTTATCACTGACCGGCCGCGCTTCCTCATTCCCGATGCGGATCTCATGTTTTCCCATGCATGTGTGTACGTGCGTTTGGTTGCTCGTACGTGCGGTCGGTCCGACGTTGCGGTTGTAGCATGTGTGTGTACGTGCGTTGGCGGTGAGCGAGTGGAAAAAAGGGGCAGGTCTGTTTTTTTGGCGTTTTTGGACCACCAAAACAACCCCACAAGCCGTGCTCCAGGAACGACATAATTTGTGGGATTCTCGTGAATGTCTCCACTTGATATCGTCTCATTTTGACGGTGATTTTTCGAAGGAGGAAAATCATGGACGTATTTCCGAGCGGAGACATTTTCCAGGAGTTGCAGGTCCTGCATGAGACGGGTTGCTACTCGGCGCTGCCATCGCTGGAAGAGCATTGGCATCAGGTAAGCCGTGGACAGATTGATGTAACGTGTGAGCTCCACGTGATTCAAAATTCACACAAAACTTTAAAAAAAATCCTTTTCTTACAATGATTGCCTAATGATTGCACATGTAAGACTTCTAATAAATATAAGATTTGAACAGGCATTTTCTCAATCTCATTCCTCCACATTTGTATGTGATTCACGTGTCATTTTTGTTACTGTCCTGCACTTCACACTGTATTATACAGTTGATGCAGTGTAATAAAATGGCATTGGCCTATCCATGATCAAACTTTTGGCAAAAATTAAAATTTAAATGGCAATCTTACATGCCCTTTAATTTCTGAATAATATAATTACCTTTGCTATTTGGTTAAACATCGATTCATACAGCTGTACAGTACATTGACATGTCATTAATGTTATTAATCTCAGTATTTCTCATCAATTAATTTAGTGTCAACATTTTCTTGATACATGTAATTAATGTACGATACATTTGAAGCCTTCTTTAAATTCCTTAACCCCAATGAATAATATTAAATTATAGCCTAGTCCTAGTAAATAGGCCTAATTTGCATAAAGTGCACTGTGCAAAAACGAGCTGGCTCAGACAATGATGAATGTTCATTGCATACATATCAAAATAGTCTATTGTATTTTTAATGTTTGGAGCAACTTGAAATTATATGCAGGCTACACGTAAACAACTTGATATTTTGAAATAGGGGTATGCATGTACACAGGGTAAGAATAGGGTGCATTTAATCACAGTGTTGCGTTTTTGATAATTTCCTTACCTTATGGGGGTTCTTTGCAGACTAGTTTAATAATGCGTGATTAGATGGCTTGTCCAGTCGGTCACACGAATTGGCCTACTGCTACTTTCATTTGTAATTTTTGATTGTGTAAAACGTGTCGTGGGTGGAGGAGTTATGAAAAATCAAATGTCAGCAATGTGCCGTCAAGAAATTACTCCTTCAGAAATAATATTGTAATTCCTTGGAGGAAACACTCACACCTGTTTTGCATTTTGCAATCAAAAGTTGAAAAATAAATCCTTGAGTTGATGATAAGTTACGTGGTTATAAATTTTGATTATAAATGTTCGTGCCAGTATAACATTGGACTGATTGTAAGGCCAAAAAAAAAAATAAGTCGGTCTCTGGTCAGCCGCGCGTCGATTTTAATCATGCGCGTCGATCTTTTTTTTTCCAAAATGTTCCGCGGTAGCTCCAACGGCGCCCTCTATCTCCGCACCTCCTCAATTTTTTTACCAAAGAGCACCAAGGAATGGGAAATTGCACCAAGGCAAATGATCGAAAGCACCAAGGCAAATTATGGAGGACACCAATGTACATGAGGACACCAAAAAAGCAAAATAGTACCCACCTTGTCTGTACAATCCAAGCTTGAAGAAAAAAAAAAAAAGCAAAAAAAAAAAAAAAAAGCCGCGTGGCCGCGTCAATTCCGGAACTTTGGTCTGACCAGAGACCGAATAATTTTTTTTTTTAGCTTAATTAATAAGCTGATTGTCTCTATGTACAGTACATGCACTTATTTATGGTCTCATGTTACTCTGTGTTGAGCTTAATGTATATGAAGATGCATACATTTTATACATGGTTTAGTGTATTATTATGGAGACAGAGGCAGTGATTTACGTGCCAATTAAATGGACACTGTAATGGTTATTCTCATCTAAGTATTGCCTGAAGTGCAGTGTGGGGACCAACAACAGTCCAAGATAATTTCATGCAGGGTTGCCACAGTGACACTGACAGACTTTGACTTGTATGTCAAGTGTTATTGGTGTACTATTCAAACATGTCATCTCAAACGTGTGACTTGTAATGTTTTGCATAGTCCACACTCCACAGCACTCTCTGATGACTAGATGACAGAGAACAAAATTAATTTTTTACTTTATCACAAAAAGCAACACCTAAAGATGGATTTAAATGGAACTTTTCTTTTTAAGAGATTGTTTACGCGAAGAGTGAAATAATCTGGGCTGTTCATATTCAGGCCTGCAGACAAACACGTTATTACTCTGCATTGGTAATATACGATGCACATGCCATGCGTAGACTTACTTTGTTAATTTATGTACGAGTCATCAAGTTAATTGTTAACACATCAGGATGGCCTCCAGTATTAGTGTCTGGCCTAATGCAAGCATACAGCAAAAAGGGCAATCGATCCAATTTGCTTGGAGTTGGAATGCATAAGATCCATGTGGCTGTACACATACATGTACGCCATTTACGTGTGTTTGAAACACTAATAAGTAGCCATCTATGATCTTGTTTTATTTTACGCAAGTACAGGGGTGAAATTGCAGTCAGATATCGGACATTTGTCAACTGTTGACCATATTTGCCATTACATAAATTTGTTTACAAATGTAAGTGTGAATAATGCATTTTATGTACAGTATACATACGTACATGTATATATATGTACACATGTATACAAGGAATTCGACACTCCATGTACATGTACCGGTACATGTACATCGATAGTGTGTTAAAACTGATTGTCCTTGTTCAGTTTGTTGAAGCAGTGTTTTTTTTTCAATCTAATTTCACTCTATGAAAGCTTTTTTTTTCAAGATCTGGCTCGTTGTCACGTTTTGTGTGCAGCCTGTTATTCTGTGAATAATTTTTGTACGAGGTCAGCCTGAATAGAGTAGATCTGCATATATACATGTACGTCATTCAGTACTTGTCTGAGAATCTGTCATAATTTTCGCAAAAGGTCATTTGATCTCCATGGTTTAATCCAACCTTGGCCTGCTATATTTCGGCCTTGCTTTGTGGCCAGGAATACTGGGCCATTATGAAATTATAAAGCTGGATTCATCTGCTGTCTCAATGGGTCTGCGCACCAGTACATGCAGCCTCAGTACTTGTACAGTACAATGATTTTACGATTGGCCATGATAACAAAAACCCTTCCACTTCCTCACAGTAGCAGCAAGGTTACAGGAGGCACATCCTTCCTGGACTAGAGTTTTTTCCGTGCACACAAATCCATGCAATATTGCATTCCGCTGGGTGCCTGGGGACTGTGCACACAACAATTTTCCATGTGATAAAAAAATGTCTGTTTTTTCAAATTTGGAAAATCCAGCAATCCAGTTCAATAAGATCTGTGTGAAGTTTCATCATTATTTAGTGGACGCCGCTTTGTCCTGACAGTGACAGTTGACAGAGAAATCATTGAACGGACATGTTCCAAACACTTTCGCTACAGAATTAAATAAACATGTGCAAACAGGAAATCTTTTCAAGTATCCATCAAATTTCTTTCCATCTCTTTTACACACAGATTTCAATAATAGTCCCCATAGAGCCTGTCAGAATTATCATGACTTAAAAATAAAAAGAAAGGAAAATACTACAAATGTCAGATCAAATTTGATATTTTAATTTTTAATATCAAAACAATATCTGTGACTATGCTAGATGTTAGTGTAAGGCTGTAAGCGTGGTGGCCCTCCTTTTGATAGCTCCACGGTGTAACTTACACATATTACCGGTACATGCATGTTAAAGTGTCTGACAACATGTATGAAATGCTGGAACTGGATTTTGTTTAAAAGTATGGTACAACGTACATTGTACAGTATCATTTGCTTTCATGCATTTTGTTCGTTTCCAATAATAACACCATTTGAAATCCAAAGAAGAACGTTCAAACCTAAACTTGATGTTTCAGCTTAAAAGTGGATTACCCTTTCGAGAAAACAGTAACCGTGCACAACCTTGTGCTCACGAACACAATTTGTCAATAAAACTCTTTACTTCCAAAAATCTGTCGATTGACTGATCGTTGGAAATATCCTACAGGTACATTTCTCAACTTTATCTAAAAGAGAGCAAGCCAGATGGAATAATTTTACAGGGTGTTAAAGACCAGTACGATCTTTAATCCCAGTACATGTAAAACTTTTGATAATGATTTGGTAGGCTACTTTTAGGATTTATGCAAATGATCCTAAATGCCTTGAACTTGGTTTTGAAATACTTAAATTGTTTGCTCAAGTATGCAATATACAATTCTGGGCCCAATTTCCTGATATTACTCAACAGTTTTCTCTGATAAGCAGAATTTACTGGTAGTTTGAACTAAGCCGGTCATGAGCTCTGCACATGACATTTTGGCTGGAAGCCTGACATTGCTTAGCATACATTTTGTGCTTAGTAGCTCCACAGTGTAACCATACTGGTACAGCAAGGAAATTGAGTTGTGGTTTAACAAGTAACAATTTGGAAGTTAGAATTGAACATGGGCTTTAAACGTAGATTGTAATTGTATTTGTCATCCCCAGTCAGTCACATGCCCTGGTAATATTCCAGTCCAGCCTGCCCTGGGAATCATTACACATGCTTGATCTACAGACTGGCATTGACGGAGCTCCGTAGTAGCCAGCCGACCAATCAGAACTTGGCACCCTTCCAGCCAGCCGTAAGGCCTCAGCGATTCACAGCCCACGTGAAAGATTTGTGCCCATATAAGGCCGGGCAATAAATAGGCAAATATTTGACCCCTGGTTGCTGTGGCAACTGGGTCATATGTTAATGGTATTTCCAGTCCCGTGGGGCTTATTATTTATCCATCGCTGTGTTGACAGATGTGTGTAGTGTGTGGGCATCCATCATCTACATGTAGTCATGTGACCCGCATACTGTCTGTATGTGTACAAGGACTGTCTGCTTATAATTTGTTTGATTTGTACATTTGTCGTTCTTGGCGCATAGTATGTTTATTTTAACATTGTTGTACACATTGATCCGTCTCGTTTAAGTATATTTTTTTTTGGTCTACAAATGTATGTCATATTTATTTGTTATGTTTGCAAAACCACAGTTATTACTTAAAACTCTAAAAAGTATTAAAATAAACGTCCATGGACAGGGCAGTACAATGTACTATAATTGGGCTTTATTTATTGGATCTTTATGTTGGGTCATAAATCAACAGTGAACTTGGATGCCTCTTTTAAATCTATA